TGTCATCCTCCCAACTTACTTATACAGCCTGTCATTGCCCCCACTGGTCGTTCAAACTTCAAAACTCAATAACAAAAACATAATCACAAAACGACAAAATCCTACGTGGCACGTCCTTTTATATATATACAACACACAAAAACACATTTTCTCATATCTCACATTTCACAGTATTGCCTTTTTTCGCCTGAAACCGAGTCGACTCAGTGAGTCAACTAAAAATGGGTATATGCAGCTCGTACGAGTCGACACAAGTGGCGACGGCGAAGCTGATCTTACAAGACGGGAGGATGATGGAGTTCACGACTCCGGTCAAAGTCGGTTACGTTCTCCAGAGGAATCCGATGTGTTTCATATGTAACTCCGACGATATGGATTTCGACGACGTCGTATCCGCCATTAGCGCCGAAGAGGAGCTTCAGCTTGGACAGCTTTACTTCGCTTTACCTCTCAGCTCTATTCATCAGTCTCTTAAAGCGGAGGAGATGGCTGCATTGGCTGTTAAAGCAAGCTCTGCTCTCATGAGAAGCGGCGGTTCTTGTGGCCGAGAGAAATGCCGGTGTCGTCGAAAATGTGTTTCTCCGGTTGTGTTTTCCGCTAGGAGAGTGGCGGCGGTGGGATCCAACGGGGATACGAGGAACGGGAAAAGACGCGGCGGTGGTGGTGGTGGTAGCGGTAGGAGGAAGTATGCGGCGAAGTTGAGTAAGATAGAGGAGTAAAAGGATACTTTTGGGATTTAGTTATTATTGTAGGGTTAAGTTTGTAAATAGGTAGTTATTTGGGGGGGGGGGGGGTGCAAATTGCATTTTAAAACGTGGGAAAAGTGGATTGTACTTGAGGGGAATGCAAATCGCATATGATTGGATGATTTACATGTTTTTTAATCATGTTTTGTGAACTGCACATTAACAACCATCCATAATACGATCGTTTAATTTTCTTAATTTGAAAAAACGTGAAGTAGTTATAGAAAATCACAACTATATTCGAAACAAAATTATGAATTCTATACATTAAAGAAAAATAGTCAAGAGATGATCATGGGCATTGTTTTTTTATTCACATTCAATATTTCTACTGTTCGTTCAGGACCGTTTGATCTGTCTGAATATGTTTGTTTTGTCCGAACCACAATTGTTCCATTCAATTCGTTTGTTTTAACATCGCATGTTCCTATGTTCCCATGTTACCACCACAACCCCAAAGTATAATTGGTTGATCCTTATCATTAAGATTAAGATGGGCATTGTTTAATCCAAGTATATATTTTATGGATAAGAAAAGACCATGTGTATGGTTCTTGTAGCTAGTATTTTGATTGGACGATCAACTAAAGTAAACAAACAATTTTTTTTTTTTCATAACACAATATAAGTAAACACCAATTTAAGTAATTAATGGAACTTATAAAATCAATTTGTCTGTCTACATTACGACATTTTTGGAAGATGAATACTATCTCCGTTTCGTTTTAGTTGCTTTTCTATATTTAATTTTTGTTTCAAAATATTTAAAGTTTTCGGTTTTATATATAGATTTATGATAAATTTTATAGTTTTATTTCTATTCTTATAACTTATTAATTAATGATATCAAATAAAATAGTATATTAATTAGAAGTATACAAGTTAATTGTTTTTTTAAATGTGTGAATAATATAAACCCATAACTAAAAGGAAACGAAGAAAGTATGTTAAATAATTTAATCAGTTTGGTGATAACAAATGTTAATCCAAAACTGTGAAAAGCCAATGCCAAAAACTTGTATATAAGTACATTTTACTACAAGATTAACATGAAAGTTAGACAAAAATTTCATATGTAATAGATTTTTCTTTGCAATGGATATAGTCATATAGAGTTGCACAATATTAATCATGCAAAATGAAATACTGGTTATCTGGTTGTGTAATGATCACATAATTTAATTATAAACTTTAATGTCTACTGATTAATTGGTGATTCGTGTAGTGCCAACGATATTGCCAATCTAATTCTAAACTTTAATATATTATATCTCAGCATTTTTCACGGTTGTAATAGTGCAATGAAACGTCACATAGATTCAGTAATTTTGACTATTAAGTGACCCTACTACACACTAGGACTAGGGGTTAGGTCTGAAAAGCATCACCCGATTTGGTCCCATGCATTATGAGAAAAAGTCAATTTTCTTGGGATTACGATGACATCTTCATTTATTTTTGGTTACAGGTTTACAGCTAGCTACTGACAAATTTATCCGATCGAAACAACATCACGAACTCGATTTTGATTCGGTTTGGTTCGATTACGATTTTTTTGTCCACTTGTATAATGTATAGTAGTATCAGTATGTGAGCTAATCAACAAACACTAGCAAATGCTGGAAAAACAAAAGAGAGAGTGGGAGTAATAATAAGCTTGGACGAGACTTTAATGGGACGGTACGTGCGGTGCCTAACCATCAGGGCCTACTTTTCAAAGCCCACTTCTTTTTTGTATATATATGAAGGAATATAAAAGTCATTATTATTTTAGATATACTATCATGTCTCTATTTAATTTTCAAGTAGATTTATACATAAAGTTCCTTTTGGTGTAAATCAATTATCAAAATCACACTATAATTTAAATAGTAGTGTAGACAGTCTTTTGTAAATAGAGAGCACTTTAAATTGTATTAGGGAAAAAGTGTATTTATATATATATATATATATATACATAACAAAAACCCAAACAACATGAAAAGAAAGAAAAGATAAAGCAAGACAATTTTAGCAGAAAACAAAAAGGATAAGAGAAAAAGAAAAAGAAAAAGAGTTTAGGTTCATAAAGCTATCCACCAAGTTTTTATTGAAAGTGTGTCCATAATAATAATATCCCACAACTAAAAAGCTTTTTGAGTTTGTATTTATATATCTTTAATTAATAATCATTCAAAATAATGCATCGATTTTTTTTTTTAAAACACGGACTATAATAATAATATCTCACAACTAAAAAGCTTTTGAGTTTGTTTTTATCTTTAATTAATAATCATAGGTTTAAACCCGCGCTACGCTGTGAAATACTATATCATAAAAACAATTTATACATATTTTTTATGTTTTTTCATCTAATTTCATATTATGATTAAAATATAGATTAAAATGAATAAATTGTTAGTCAAAATATCTTTTTGGTTCAAAATATTTTTTTTTTGTTTAGAGTGATCAAGTGACTTCTTCGTATGCTCTTGTAGCTTTAGAGGTTTTAATTTAATATCTTGTTTTCTGCTCAAAATCAAATAAAGTTTATATAATAAATTACATCGAATCAAAGTAAAAATCAAATTATTTATTAAATATAAAAAGGTATACATTAATTTTAGTTTAAAATGATGAATTATACAAAATTTATAAAATATAATTTCACATGTTAGTATCTCATGGGTAAATTTATAATATTTATGTTTTGTTATTTATTTTTCAAAATGTTATGTTTTGTTATAGTCTCAATCTTGGAAGAATAAATTATCAACTTCATCAAACTAACGTTTTGAATGATTTTTACTTTGTCATATGACAATAGCTGAAAAATGAAAAAGTTTACTTTGATCTTAAACTTTGTAAATTTCTCTGAAAACTAAAATTTTGAATTTTAACAATAAATAAATATTTTAGTTATTTTGTTATTTTTATATTTATCATATAAAAATAAAATATTATATAATTTATCATTTTTATATGTATATATTTTCTAAATATTATATATATTAATATTATAAATTTTTTTCTATACTGTAAAAAAGTATTATATATTTTTGTTTTTTCTTTCTGCGAGATGTTATTTTAAATTGTATATATTTTTAATATGAAACAGTTATTTATAATAATATAAATAAATATTATGTTTATTTTTTAGTTATCATAAGTTTTGTCTTTAGCCCTAATATTCAAAGGCATTCATATGAATCATATAAGATTATTTCTTAAGAGTTAGATAAATTTATGAGAATCATGACAATAAACCAAATTGGACCATTTTGATGGACATGTTTTAGTCCAAAAATAAATATCTAAAATATTTTTAAACTTTCAAAAACAAAAAAACTAATTAAATCATACTTTTTTTAAGCCCAATCATTAATTCTTTTAAATCTATGTGTATTATTGTTTTGTTCTGAACTTCTGATTGGTTTAAACTTTCTGACTGTATATAGACTTTTTTTTTATTCTTTGGGCTTTTATAAATGAAATGGTATATGTGTAATAATGTTTTAATTTGATTGGTTTGTAAAATAGCTGATGTGTCAGCTTCTCAAAGATCAAAAAATCTGATGTGTCAACTTATGAAGAGATTTGAGTGTTATTGTTGTATTGATTTCCGTCAAAACTCAAAAGAATCAATTTTCCGTCAAACCTAAATCTTTTATTTTTCTGCAAAAACTATAAAATTATAATGATTATTCCTTTCTAATTATTTTTTTAGAGAGGGAATTCAAATTAGATAATGATTATTTCTTTCTAATTATTTTTTTTTTGCCGGTAACTTTTTCATTATAAGATGAAATCGATAGCCCATACAAACTTTTTTTTTTTAAGTCCAATCACTAATTTTTTAAAAATCTATGTGTATTATTGTTTTGTATTCTTTGGGCTTTTATAAATGAAATGGTCTATGTGTATTAATGTTTTAATTTGATTGGTTTGTAAAATAGCTGATGTGTCAGTTTCTCAAAGATCAAAAAATCTGATGTGTTAACTTACGGAGAGACTTGAGTGTTATTGTTGTATTGATTCAAAATATTGCATCGATTTTTATTTATTTAGTATGATAAGAGAATGGTGAACTGTTTGTAAATAATAGATTCGAGATTGAAATTTAAACTATGTATTGTATTTATTAGAAGAACAATAATAAATCTATGATACAAATTAGATCATTTTCACTTTTTGGATTCTCGGATTCTCCACTTTAATCTTAAGTATGATACGTAAAAAGAAAATATGAAGAAAAAGAACAGTAATGGGAAAATATTTTAAACTAAAACCATAATTATTTTGAAGATCATAAATAAAAACAAGAATAAGTGAATTGATTTAGTATGTACACACAAGCCAAAACATCAACCAGTATTGGTAACCAAAAAACGGCATGCAGTTTTTTCCTCTATCTCTATGTTCTACTCTCTACACACAATACATCCCCCTTCTGTACACTCACCAATAACTTTCAAAGAAACAGAGTCCTGCAAATCCAAAAACCTTTTTAAGAGGACCTCATAAAAACATTTCATCTAACAAGTTCTCTGGCTATCAAATATCGAAACACAAAACTGTGAGGCGTCCATTCAACAATGCTCTTCCTAGATCTCCCAGAGTTAAGTTTCTTTATGGTTTTCTTCATTGTATCAGAGAGGCATTCTTGAATCATCTCCATCAATGCTGCTTGACTCAACCCTGAGTCTTTGCTAAAAGACTCAATGATCTTTGGTAAAACTAGTTTCTGATCCTTTTTGACCCCAAACGTTGCACGAATGTACTCTTCTTTAGCAGTTTCTAGCTCTTGGTATATTCCCTTGGGCGTATAAACACGAATCTACAGCCAAAGAAAACCACATTTTCAAGACCTCTCTCACTTTTCAAAGAAGATAACAAAAGTGTAAGCTTTCTCTACTTACCGCAGGATCAGAATGGTTGCCTGAACAAAGTGCAAAGTATAAGAGAGGCTCAGAATGGTCTAGGGAATATTCTTGATGCTCATCTCCGGTTCTGAACTTTCTTGGAATCAGTAATAACTTCAGCCACTACAAACAGAAGAGAGAAAGCTTAAGACACAGTCACATGTGACAATTTTTTAGTTTTGAGATACGAAAGAAAATGAGCATTACCTGACCAGGACGAGGCATTTTAATGCGTAGAATGTAAGTTTGTATCGCTTCTACGCTTACCATGCGACCTCCTATGTTGTAAGCTGGCTGGAAAATATTAATCAGAGACCAAAAAATTTCAGTATCATTCTTCAAAGTTTGGAACTTTTCATCCATATTCTTGAAGCAAACCAAAAACAATTGTTGATAATATTACCTTTGAAAGCAGTAAAAACCGCTTCCCATTGTTCTGTGGAATCCCATTTGCCAAGAATGTCTGCATTGGTGAAAACACAGTGTAAGTTAAGAGAACTACAGTAAAAAGAAGAGAGTAACAGAGTGAAAAACGCTTGCTTACATGCATCACAAGTGAGTTATGAATGTTAATCCAGAACGCCAGTTTCTCTTGATGTGACAGCTTTTTTGCATCAACATTTTCGAGTTGCTTAAGAAGCAAGCTGTATAAGTATAAGCCAAATGACTACTATGAGCATATAAAGAGTTGAGAGAAAGAACAAAGGTAAACTCAGATAGATGCTATTTCAAAGACTGACCTGAAGTTTCGATTCATAAGGTCAAGGTCGCGTCCTTTCCTATGGTTTCGATGAATGTGTGAAACTTCTATCATCGAGCTATAAGGCCCGCTGAATTCAAACGGGTCATCGAAAGACGGGTTTTTTCTGAAGCTTGGACTCCACATATCATACTGGTCTTGAGGCGAAAACTCGCTTGTTGATGATGGAGACGAGCTTGGAGATGAGAAGCCATGGTTTATCGATGGAGGATCAGCGAGCTTGGAGTATATAGCCGACGCACACTTCACCATTTCCTCTGATATCTTGTTCGGAGTCATGAATATGTGATCTGATATCCGAGTTCCCATGTGTTCCGCAAGACTTGCTGTATTTGATCCATTGTCTATGTACTGTTGCATCAAAAGTTACGTAAAAAGTTACAGACTTTTGTAGACTCTAATATCAATACAAGATGATCGTGAAGCAATGAGACTTACTTCTTTTATGGAAAATGGTTGTGAGTGGCAGGCGAATACAGAGTCTTCTGGTGGAGAGATTCGGTTGTTGAAGGTGGAACGCTGATTAAGCGAGGACTGGCAACGTCGGACACATGAATCGATGTCTTCCTTCTCGTAAAAGCATTGATCTTTCAGCCTATTGTCGAAGGAGAAACACCGAGAATCGATTGCTGAGTTTTCTTGATTGAACTGCCGAGCAGCAGATCCAGGTTGTTCCTTCGGTCTATTGTCAGAGGAGAAGCACTGAGAATCGGTTCTTGAAGTTTCTTGATTGCGTTTCCGAGCAGGAGCAGGAGCAGAACCGGTTTCTTTCGGTCTACTGTCAAACGAGAAACACTGAGAATCGATTCTTGAAGTTTCTTGATTGAGTTTCCGAGCAGGAGCAGAACCAGGTTCCTTAAGTCTATTGTCAAATGAGAAACACCGAGTGGCTGAGTTCTCTTGTCTGCATCTAAGACTAGGAGAATCTGGTTCTTTCTCGACCAAACACGGACTCTTCAACCTGCTGTCAAAGGAGAAACACCGAGGTTCAGGCGTTCTTGAGAAATCCAGACGTTTGCCTCTAAGTGTGGATTTAGGTGAGCTCGAGCTCTCTTGTTTCGATGTTGGAGACACAGAAGATGATTGTTGATCGAATGCTTTACGATACAGAGACAGAAGGTACTGTTCCAAATGCGAAACTTCCAACTCTAACACCGCGATTTCCTGGATCAGTTCTGTTGCAGGCTGCAAGATATTAAAACCATTCGTGAGCTGCACACAACATCAGCATTTTGATCGCTTACTTGAATAAGAAACAGATTCATTGTTACCTTTGGAGTAGAGTCTGCTTTCGAGTTGATATCTCGAGAAGGTGTTTTATAGCCTAATGCCTTCTCTAAAGCACCACGGACATCAAACTGGTTCTGTAGTCTTTTCTCAAGATCTTGAATCTGAATGTAACCAAGAAATCAATTATGTGTGGTGAAACAAGTGATCTTGGAGTAGAGAGAGCTACACAGAAAGTTCAAAATACAAACCTCTTGCTTCAAAGAGCTCTGGACTTTTACTTCCGGCGATAGAGTCTTCTTCGTTTCAACAGATTTGTCGCAGCATCGAGGTAAGTCCTGTGAAGAAAAAGACATTTAGAGAAACTAAGAATCTAGATGTCTGAAAACCATGAATCAAAGGGAAGTTGTTGGTTATAACTCACGAGCTTGAAGCGTTGAGAAGCATTAGTAGAACAAACAATGGTACTATCCTCTTGAAGCTTTTTCTTTTCAGGAAGAGTCCAGCTAAAATAAGTAATCAAGATGTCAAGAACCAATCAAAACAGTTGAAACCCAGAAAAGATAAACATAAAAACCACATTCTATGAGAAGTACACAAAGCTTCCATCTTTTAGTCCTAAACCTAAAATTCTTCAACAAAGACTCAAACTTTGACTCATCTAGCTGCGAAATTACTTTGCATCTGGGCAAATTTTAAATACCCAAGTTGTAGAATTTGATAATCGAAAGAATGAAACAGAGCTAAAAAGAAGAAAAGTCTTAAATTTGACAAACCTCTTAGAACGATTGTGTCTCTGCGTCTGCATTTTCTTGTCTTCAAATCCCATCTCCTGTAGCCAAATTAACAAAATCGCTGACTAATTGAAGAATGGAGTTTTAAAAAATCATGAATAGAAGCTAGAAACAAAGCTCACTTTGTACTGATCTCAAGTAGAGAACTAGATGAAGAATCTGTAAATGGGTGTTTTTTTGGCTTAGAGACAGAGATAGAAACAGGATTTTGATGTAATTTTCTTCAGATTTATGAAACTAAACTCCAAAAACAAATAAAACCATCACTTGTCTTCTTCCACCATTGAAAAACAAATCTGAGTTTCTGATAGTGATTAATTTTTCTTTCTTGTATAGAAGAAAGAACATATATACGGATACAGCCAAAGATATGTAGCAAAGATTTGATGTTTTTTTTTTGTTGTTGTTGTTTTTTCTTTTAACCTGTACTCTCACGCGCGCTTACACAGAGAGAGATGAAAAAGACTGTAAGAGAATTGGGTTAACTTTTTGACCCTAGAGAGAGAATCTCACATCATCACCTTCTTAGCCTTTAAGCTTTTTTGTATTTAGAGACTTTCTCTTTTGCATTAAAAGCACAACATTTTACGTGTGATATCGATACACGTAAAACTATTATAACTTTTTCCTTAAAATGCTAAATAATACAGACTACCTTGAGTTAGCTTATAAAATGGTTTGGTTGGCTAATGTATAAAATGGTTTAGTTGAATAAATACGTATGGATTAAGGAATTTTATAAAAAGATGTATTTATTTCTGCTTTACAATTAAGATCTGTTATAACAATACAAAATTATCTTTTGAGAAAAATACAATACAAATTTATAGAGATAAACTTAGAAAATAAATATTTTTTACGATGAAACTATAAAACATAATGTAAAACAGAGTGATACCATTAGTTTTTTTCTCCTCTAAATTTGTGATCTAGATTAGTTGGCCAACTACATATTAATACAACAATCATGTCTTTTTTACATAGTAAAAATATCTTGTAGAATTGTTTTGAAGTCATCTTCCTATCAAGCATAAAAATAAATAGATCATTCTACCTTTTTTAGTTTAGTTAAATTAGGTTTTCTCATCTAATGATTTTGACATTTCATACCATTTTTCGGTTTTCTGCCAAAAAAAAAATTGATATTGTTTAAAATGAAACCCAATACTTTTTTTTTGGTTGACAAATTGAAAATATTTTGAGAAATTTTTGAAACTTAGTAAAAATGCTGATGAAATGCTTATAAAGGAACTATAGATATTATTCAACTATTATTATTTTGTTTAATTTTTTCTGCAAAACCATTCAATTATATATATATATATATATAACTTCTCGTATTATATTTTACCAAACTAAAGAAAATCAACCTCCAAGGGTGGTGAAACAAAGAATCTTTGAAAAGTAATAGTATTTACAAATGTAATAAGTGGAAAATGACATGTACAAGACAAGCCAGAGGATGAAACAATCTTTGGTTACTATTTTTGTGCTGAACCAAGAAAAACGAATAGAAAAAGAGACAAAACTATATATATATATATATATATATCTATTCTTTTGTCAACATTTGAAGTTTTAAACGACTTTCGATTAAAGAAATAGAATATATATATTGCTGATGACTCTATCAATGAAATTGCTACTACAAAAGTGAAAACTATTATATGAGCTTGTGGAATCTAAGTAATGGGAGTTGTTAAACCATCGTATTGCTCATTGTCTCGTTCTGTTTCTTCTACTCATAGGATCATTAGGATGCCACGTTCTGTTTTTTTTCTTTCGTTTCTTGCAACATTCTCTTAACTTTTGTACGTATTCGTAATTTTATTACTTTGACACATACCTATTCTACTTAGGGTTTTTATTTATTTTACATTGAATATAATTTTTATTTGAAAAAACAAAATTAATTATTATATCTTACTCAATATGGACGCGCGGGACATACGGAGTATCAAGCTTGCATTGGCCATACAAATTATGTAAAGGCTACTTACGTTAGTGCATTTTGTCAATCAAATAATTTGTATCATGCATTCAAAAGCTGATATTGTTGAAGTGAATGTAATATATAAACATGATACAAAATTATTTGATTGACAGAATGCACTAACGTAAGTAAGTAGCCTTTACATAATTTGTATGGCCAATGCAAGCTTGATACCACTACCAAAATACCAACTATATATCTGAGTCCAATAAAAAAAAAACAGAAAAAGGCACTAAAGAACGAATTTAAATAAATAATTTAGCTTGCTTATGAAAATTTATAAAATAAAGATTATATAAGTCTGCATCTCACTCAAGCTGTTGGTGCGTTAGGCCAACTAATTAAGATCAGATCGATTATTAGACCACTAACCAGTATGTTTCAATAAAAGTACTTAAGTTTACGTTGATATTTTGTCAAACTATCCAAACAACTACAATCTACATTTGTCTAGATGATTTGACGTTATATTATATATATAACAGATTGACAATAGTTGCTCACTATTTTGTAACCATTCTATATTTTTTGTCGTCGACTTTGGACTATACAGTATAAGACTGTGCACTTATTTTCAAGAGTCAACCATGAATAATTGAAAACCCGTGAGAGTTATTTTTCTTTACCAAGTTTTTGAACTGAAATTCAATCTAAATATTAGATAAACAATCATATATATATATCTATATATAAAAACCTTGTAATTTAAGCACGAGACAAAACTGTTTGTTTTATTGTATTCACCACAATTTATGTTGTTGACCAAAAAAATGTAAATGCTATTTCTGAAATAATATGTCAAAAAAGTAATTAATATATCTACAATACAACATATATATTTATAGAAATCAAAATATAAAATTTAATAAACAAATTTTCCCTCCAAAATTTTGTTTTCTCCGAGACAGGAAGGAAAGAGACATAGGATGCTTGCTGAGTTGCTGTAAAGGAAAACAATGTGGCCAAGTTACTTTTCTTTTCTTTCGTCTTTTATTTCACTTTTTTATATAAGATTATTATTTTAATTAACGTCAAATAGTCGGGTGCCCGAATTGTCTTTCAGTACCAAGAAGACTTACGTTTGTCAAAGAATCCCAGGAAATATTATATTTATAATAAATAACCAAAACTGACATATCTACAGTTTATATAGACTAAAAGGTAAGACTAACTAGGGTTTTATTATCATTTTTGTGCTATGTTGATATAATTAAAATAAGTCGTGTATAATTTTTTTTTTTTGATACAAGATTTGAGTGGTGTACTGTAATTTAACAGACAGATCTTGCTACTTTTATCTTGTCTTTTTACCTGCCCATGAAATTATTCAATTCCTAATTTTAAAATATTTAGCTGAAAACCAAACGCAAAGAATTTGAGTTTAGTTTACGACAGTGTTACAAATACAATTAATTAATTTAATTATACACGAATATTCTATTCAACTTGAAATAGTAAGTAATTGAACTCATTCTTGGTATATTATTCGTAAGATTGTAAAAAGACTTGAAACTTGAGTTTCCAAAATATACTGTTTTAGAATATCGAAACTTTGTAGGTCATTAATTTAGGAGTGATACAAATGATCACATATCTGGATTTCAACAATTTATTTGAGTAGCAAACTACTCATCTATGAAATTGAGTTCCATTGACCAAAATAATTAACATGGTATACCATATAGATCAACTGAAAGTCCAATGATCCAAATTTTACATTTTTCAAATGAACATAATATATTTGTAAAGGTGTTTAACGCATGTTTTAGCTTATACATCTATCTTCTTCTTTTTTGTGCACCAGCTTATACATCTATCTAGAGTATAAAAATAATAAATAGAATTTGAACCAATATTAGGAACAAAGATACACTCCGGTCTATAGATATTCAATTAGCTTGGTTTTAAACTGTAGTAAGTGATTCACTTAAAAACACTATTTTAGTGGAAAGATCCAAAACTTTTCTTACATGCATTGAGACCGAGGAAAAGGCCAAAAGCTTGCCGATTATAAATTTAAAACAAATTGGACGCTAGTGAATTCAGGAGTGATCGTAAAATTGACCAATTTAAATTTTGATTGTTATAATAATACTAGTGTGGTAATCTATGCAAGGTTAAACTCGGTAACAGTGTTACAACTTCTTATTTGCACGGTGTCGGGGACACAAATTACGGTAAAAATTCAAGTTTCACCACTAAACACTATTCTAATTTTTTTCTTTTCAAAATGGAGTTTCTGTTAAGATAAATAAACCAAAGAATTTAGGGTATGTATAATAATTTATTGAATTTTTGACAAAGGAAATGTGAGATTGGTGATCTGTGGCATGTGGAGAGCAAAGTGTTAAGATGTTAGATCAAGATTTGTCAGTTGAGAGAGACAAACATGCTTTAATGAATTTTAAACTAAGATGCAATTTCATTTTTTTTTCAAACAGATGCATTCAAATGATGAAGTGCAATTTAATTTGCAGATTTATTTATTAGAAAACGTCTCAAATAAACTAATGATGCACATGAAGTACTACTTAATTTTGGGTCAATATATTGGATTCCGGTTTTGAATACCATCGTGCCGTAAAAAACCAGTTTCTTCGTAAGACTTAATATTTCTTTAATACAGTATGAATTATCAGTTTGAGATTTGGGGGGTTATAAAATAGAAAACAAAAAGTAGGGGCAGTTTAAGATTAAACAATTAAAAGGGGTTTTAACCCAAAAAAAGAAATAGAAAAGGGTTGAAAATGGAATCATACAAACAAGAGTGGGAAAAAGCTGAAGTTTACAAAGGCATTTGGACAAGAGAGTCAATGCCAATCATAACTAGCGAAAAAGGCATCTCCTAAAATTTCACTTTTTCTCACGTGTAATCCACGCGCTTCTACAGATTCATTATAAAGTTTTTAATTGCAATACATTTTCTACAAAATCAAGAAAATTAAAATATTAATTTCATTTCTCGCGTGACCCATAAGGCCATAAGGCCATAATGCCATTGGTAACATAGATGCTACTATGTCCCCACCGGGGATATTAAATTTTTAGTACATTACGAGATGAATCATGAATCGTATATTCTTATTGTTGCATGCATGTATATATATGATCTCATACAGGCCCATGACATAATTTTATGATCTCATACAGGCCTGGCCCAACTTAAAACAGTAAAATTTGGGAGAATTATGAAGTTAAATTAAAATGGCATTTTTGATATTTTTAAAATTTTTTTGGTAACATTACAAATTTTGGTTTGGTTTCTATGTCAACTCCTAAAGTAGAGTTTCATTTTCTTGCTTATACATTTTGTATCATTTTGTATCTTTCATGTTATTTTTACATTTTTTTCAAGCTTAGCGAATATATAAAAATTTATTATATATGATGAGTTTTTTTTTGAACAAATGTAAAATTTATTGAATCCCAAAAACCAATTTTACCATAACTGTTACAGATTTATGATTTGTAAAATAGATTAACAACTTTTCCTAAGCTAAACCAAAATAGATTAACAACTTTTCCTTATATCGAGTATTCCCTAGCTTCTCTATGACGTTTTCGACAATGTGATTCTAATACCGATTTTTCTCTTTTAAATGATAGTTTCTTACTTGATCAATTACTTGGGAGAAAATTGGACTAGACATGAATAATATTACTATTGCGGATACAAACATCATCATGAAAAGAGACTTTGCCATATTTGCTTTTTTGGGTTTTGGATGTAAGATTGGCCAAAAAAAAAAAAAAATTATAGGAAAATGAGCATAGTGACTTGTGGAAGGGTAATTAATTGATTTAAGTTTTCTTTGGTCAAAACTCAAAAGCAATTAATTGATTAAAACGTTTACTCATTAACTGTTTGACTAGTTTTTTTTAAAAAACTTATTGTAGCAATTATAGATTTTTATTCATTAAAAGTTTGACTATGTTGAATTGTGGAAACTAGAAAACTCAAACAGCATCGCAGCGTTGAGAAAATGATAAGTCTCAATAGAAGAAGCCTATCAACCAATTGTAAAACATGAAATCTAAGCATTTTATTACACAAAAGTGCAAAACTAAAGGCTTCCGTATCCGTTGGTTCCAGGCTTATTCCAGTTATGATCACAGAAAAGCCAAACAATAATCACTTTAACAAATATTCCTTCAGTTTCATATTGTACGATGTTTTAGGTTTTTGTTTTTGTTTCATAAAGATTGATTTTCTATATTATATTTAATATATTTCTGTTGACAACTTTTTAAGTAAAAAAATATAAAAAATTAATATTAAATTAATAAACAAACAAAATGTACTGTAAAAAAGTAAATAATCATTGTTTTCTTAATATCTGTGAAACATCTAAAACATCATACATTACAAGTTTAAGTAATCAATTATAAGTCATCAATTATAAAAATAGACAGAAAAAGACGTAAGCATCCCAAGTTTCAAGTTTGGAGGTGCTCAATGCTCTCACTCGAATCTATAAACTCCAAGTCAAAAGCTCTGGTCCTTACAGGCTTGCTAAACCAGTGATCAGGGATCCCTTGGATGTCAACTCTTTGTAGATGATTGCTTTGCAGATCATAGCAAAGGTAGTAAAAGGGAGAAACCAACCGGAGCGGTACAAAAATAACCTTGCCTTTTAGGATTGCACCTCTTGGCTTCAATCGATTGTCAACGACTAGATGCATCTGACAAGTCTGTAAAACCAGTCTCTTGCTCGACCATTCTTTCTTCTCCCAGTCTTCCACAACCCACTCTCTTTGAGATGGGTGAAATCAAAAACAGTTACTTTCCCACCATACTCTATCTGCGTCATCCACTTGTCTACTCTAGGTAGCACATCTCCGACCCTGCGAGGTACTTGCAACATTTTGAACTCCTCGGACCTGCTGTCGAAACTCACGAGCATACAAGTATGCGAATCAGTCCAAGCCAGATAATACAAAACACCGTTCAGAGTCAGCTCTAGTGCATCGGGAAGATGAGGTTGGATATCCTTTGCGACCCTTCTCCACGAGCCACCAGCTTCGAGTACATATACCCAAAGCTCTGACCTTACCTTCTGCATATCCTCTGGCTCTGATATTACCGCAATTGTGCAGAGCACTTTGTACTGATCGTTAACAGGGTCGTGGCAGACAAAGTAGCAGATGTTATAAATCTCTTCTTCAGCTATGATATTGGATGGTACGGCAGGTAAGATCACAAGTTGTCTGGTACTGGGGTTATAGATCCGTCCCTTATACGACACTGTGAAGCTGATGAAGCCACGGACAACGCGCATGTAGAAACCTCCCATCGCAGGGATGGTCAGATCTTGGTCGAATACTAAGGAAGACGGAGAACAAGTGCTTGGAGCGGATGACAGGAGTAGAGACTTAGAGTAGTCGACACGGTCCATTAAAGACATGTAAATACGTGGTCCCGGGGATGATGTGAGCATATAGAAACGGTTGCAAAAATAACTGGAGCGGAAGAGAGATGACCAAACCTTTGAGATGCACTTGAATCTCATCACCGACTTCGCAGGTAATCTCGCCAGAATCTCCATCAGGAGATCCAGAGTAATCTCTGGTGCCACCCAACTTTTCGAGTCATGCATCTCTCTTCTTCTGCTCCTTCTTCTCGACCTCCTCTGTTGTACAAGAAGGAAAGACAAACCCATAGTGTGTGTCGCACAACAACAACACCGTTCAATCCGCACAAACTTTCCCTAGTTCCTACTCAGGCGAAACTTTCTTCAAATTTCCTCTTCTAATGTAATCGAGCCGAACAGGTTTGGTTCGTAGAGACCGACAAGACGGAGCAGCTAGGAGGCGATTTAGGGCATTGTGTGAGACAAGCCTTCCATTTTTCTTGTTTTATCTCAACAAATACGGCGTCCTTTTTTGGTTGGATTGTTATATTTTTCTCAATAGACTTAGGGTTCAAGTTTTAACATCGTTTTGGATCGAACATTTTGGACAAACTTGAAAACAAGACTCCCTTTTCCTTGAAATTATTACACGATTACAGGAGAAACAAAAAATCAAAAAATGATGATTCGGTTTAGCAAGATATAATAAACTTTCAAGACATGCCTTCTTAATATTTTCTCCCAAATATATATATATATATATATATATATATTTTTTTTTTACAAGGCATCTCTTTTACAAGTGTACACAACCAAAATGTAAGTCGCCCTAGGTTTTATTGACAAAAAGGCGACTCCGAATCCCATAATCTTGATACAAGATTTTTTAGGACTTGATTCAATCACTCAAGCTTGTACTAATCAATTGTAGTATAGCATAGTGTTTTATCAATCCAAAATAGGAGAATGAAGCAGTAAGAATGCAATAGAGCTCTTAATTCAAGCAAACATAGATAATTTAGAAGTCTAACAACCTAAATGATCAAGCAAAGAAGCACAAGAAAGCAAAAGAAAGCAATTAAAGAGCAGTAAAAGCAATAAGAAACAGAGCATAAACAGAGTAAAAGTTGAACTAGAACAGAATAAAAGCTAGACTTTAAAGATTAAAAGATGGTTCAAGATCAAGGCAATGGTGATAGGATGATTCATGTTCATGTTTAGGGTGATCAAAACAAGCAATTCTAAACACTCAACCTTAGGTAATAAACACTAATATAGACTAATCCAATCTCTTGGTATTAATCCCTTTTCTAATCATAAATTCAAGATAAATCTCTTTACTTAAACATATAATCATCAAGCATTAAAATCAAGTTCCATAAAACCAATTAGCATGCTAGACATCTAATCTCTTAGGCTAGGTTTACTAGTCTCTTATACAATATATCAAACATCAACTCACATTCTCATGCATAATCAATGTCTAAAGGCAATTTCTCATCAATATGGTACTAAGCAATACACACATTCAAGCAAGAAATGATAGATGCAAAGACTCATGATTATCTAAACACCATTTTCAAGCATTGAACTTCATTCAGGAATTTCATCAACCACTTGGTGTGCATGTGAAAACCTAAAATCAACTTCTCCAACAAAGAGGTACTAAGCATTAAGCACAATCATATAAGAAAGAGAATGAGAAGATCTAAGCCCTAATCAACCTAAACAATCACTAAAATCACCTCATTTGCCATAATCTCAAACCTAAAGCAAACTACTCACTAATTATGGTGAAAACCATCAAATCTATGAAGAAAAGATAGTTAATCATGATTAGGAAGACAAAATATTAAGAGAAATGCAAACTATTATTGAAATAAACAAAGATTTAAATACAAAGTTATTCAAAATCTAGAGAAGAAAAGAAGAACTGCTGGATAAAAAGTTGTTTACAGAAATTAGAGATTTTAAGTATTTATAGGAGTCTTAGCAAAAATGGCAAAATTGTAAATAAGTGGTCTTCAGTCTTGGACCATATCGATCAGTTGTATCGGTCTAGGTTGATCGATATGAATCCTATCGATGGGCTTCTGCTGGTCAATGCAGGTTGAGCGGTTTCACAAAAATTGCGATATCTGTTGAATGGCATATCAAAATGACCTGAAACCAAGTCCTCCTGAAAGCTAACTCACGCGGCTACAACTTACACGAAGAGGGAAGATGCTGAATAGAGACGGATGCTACTCAATCGAGCTGATATTCAAGTTGGTCAAGATCAACGGTAAAAACTCCAGATGGACATGAGCTCATTTTATTAGCCGTAACTCTTCAACCACTGATGGGAATGACTCGAAACTAATACCAAAATAAAGCTAACGCAAATGACTACAAAGTTTATGAAGGACGCCGAAGCCAAATCGGAAGGAAAACACCTCATCTGTGCTGATCTTCAGTCGATATGAATCCTATCGGTCTTCATATGATCGATACACTTGACCGAAATTAATCCGCTGGATTTATAACGATCAGTGTTTGATCGATACGAATGACCGATACCTTCCTGAGAAGCCTGTCGATCTCCATTTGATTGATACACTTGACCAAAATTAATCCGCTGGATTTATAACGATCAGTGCTTAATCGATACGGATTGTATCGGTCACTCCTTGACCAATAGGAATCGAGCGGTTTCACAAAAACTTCTGTAACTTTCTAACCGCTGATGGGAATGACCTGAAACAAACTTCAGACGCAAGCTAACTCACGGGGCTACAACATTGATGAATCTTCTTGAAGCTGAATCGAGTTGAAGACGCTTTGTCCGAGCCGGTTTTTTCAGGTGAAGTTTCTGGCCGCTTCAACAAGGTGCACCTTCTTCTTGATTCTTTTGATGTCTTTTGCAGCACCCACTAACACAAACTCGAGAATTCCATCAACCTTGGAGAAGAGGATCAATGGACATGATGGTCTAGCCAAGGATAAATGAGAGACGATCTCCCTTGGAGAACATATCATGAATAAAGGGAGATTATCTTTCATGATTTGTTCTTTCTAGAACTCTATCCTTCCGTGCATTCAGACCCAGCCTGGAATTGGAGAGCATACTAACTCACCTAGAGATCACCACGAAGAAGAATCAGCTAAAAATAAGTCCATATGAAGAAGATATTGAAGATACAAGTTGGCAGATCTTCAATGAACCCGCTGGAGACATGCGACCAGTAATAAAATCATTCCGGCCAAACGACGACGAGTCAAGCAACAAGACCGGATGTTTTGGAAACTTAACTCATCATAGAACCGAGGCGAATTGGATTCATACCAAACAGAGTTCAAACGAAGGAGTTATTCATGTTCAAAGTTGGGTGAACCGGAGCTTACCCGTATTGGATATGCGAGCGGTTATTGGAGGTTTCCCACCGAACCAGGAGGAACTAAGCTATGAACCGACTTGCATTGCAATCCTGATTCATCAGAGGACCGGGGCGAATTGGAATCACATCAATATCGGTTCTGATGTGAAAGTTATGGAGTTTCTAAACCGGAGGAAGCTACACTTGCCTTATTTAGAGTCTACCGAGTTTGAGAGATTGCAAACATATCTTTGGCGACCAGGAGGTAATCTCAACCATCTAGAATACACTAAAGACGTCCTTAGCTGCACCAGCACTCAGAGGATCAGGCGGATTCTCTTACTTCAATACTTTCCTTTCTCGGATGCATTCACATTTGGAGGAGTAACTACCCAACGGCTCTATTGCCTTTGCTGCTGCGTTTTGAAGACTTATTCAAGTAACCAGAAGCTTCCTCATGCGCCTAACATCTACCCCAAGCTGTCTAGATACAAGGAATCTCGAGTCTACCTTAATCCAAGCTCATTTAAGCCTAACGGCTATATTATCTTTGAAAGCATTTTCCCTTTGATATTTTACATTTATTTTAGAGTTATTTAGATGCCTTATTAGCTATATGACCGTTTGGTCTTGTCTAGGGACGAGCCATATATAAGCTCCCTTCATTGTATCATTTTTAGTCACCCTTGATCATTGAAAGTAATAGAAACATTTTGTTCTTTTCACAAAGTAAGAGTTCTTTGTGATTATTTCTCTTTAGAGTCTTAAGTGTGTGATTCACTTTGGGTCTATAGAAACCCACGAACTGAGAGTGCTTGAGTGATTCAATACTCTTATTTGTGCCACTGATTGAGCGAGTCAATCTCTTTCACCATCCATACCGACTTCATTCTACCTTCCGCATCCATAAGCTTGAAATCTCTTGATCATTGAGTGTTCATAAGTTGGAGTGATTCCAAGCTTGTGTCACCCACCATCGTCTCCCATGCTCCTTGTCATCTCAAAACTCTCCAAACACACCTGAAAAACTTCTAAAATGCACAAAATATGCAATGCTCACCCTAAATCTATACTAAGTCCTAATTGAATGCAAATGGGACAAAACAAGCAAAAATGAATGTTTAAAGACTATAAAACAATGCAAAATATATGGTAATATGGTGTAAATAATGAGTATATCAAATGTCGTACCAAACTCGATGGCGGATTTGGAGCTTCCTCATCGTGCTTTTTGTAAAACTGGTGTTCTTTGATCCTTAAAGGCCTCTTACTTTGGTATTCGTGAGTTTTGTCTGGATCTGTGCTGGCTCTGGTTTGGGTTACTGGGATTTTTGGCTGGAGTGGTGTAATTGTTGCAATCTACCCCTTCGATGTTTCTCTAGCTATTGCTAAGTAATTTTGTCTGGTCTACAACAACTTGCGACTTAAAGGATATCAATCTCTAGTCTCGTACTACGCTTGATTGGTATCGTGAAAAGAAAGGAACTCCTACAGTTTTTGAACGTTCAATATAACTGATTTCGCGAAGATTACAGAATGAGTTCTGTTTCAAGGATATTGAAAAAAAAGGGGGAGCTCATCGCAAGCAAGAAGACGTTTGGAACTCCCAGAAGATGACATCATAAAGATTCAGGTGTGCGATCTGGTGGCTGTTGCTGAGCGTTTTAAGAGGACCTTTATCAGGCGTATGTTCTACCGTGATGGACAAAGCACGGAGGCCCTTTTGACTCAGCTACCGCGTGCACGGATATGGGATGTGGAAGGAAAAGTTAAGGGGACAAACCTGGGCAATAGTAGATTTCAGTTCGATTTCGACAGAGAAGAAGATCTGGTGAAGGTTCTCGCCAAATGACCATGCCACTTCAATCGATGGAGTATTGCAATCGAGAG